AGGTCTCAAATAAACATCTACAGAAGAAACTAATATAAACCTAGAAGGAGACATGAAGCAACACATTTGGTATACAAAATTATCTCCTGATATGCCTATGGCATTTGATCATTAACAAGTCAGACCAAAAATAGGAGGTATATTTCTTCTTGTCCAAACCACAAAAATTGATCATTAACCTCATAGTGTTAACTATTTCAAAAAGAACTTAACCCCCACCAAAAAGGAAGAAGAAGAAGAAGACTATGGGTTCGTGCTTTTCCCTACTTGTGTATTTTAACTATTATATTATATGTCTGCAGTAAGTAGCCAAATTAATAGCAACAATATGGAGAAAGCATGAGCTTTCCAGGATAGAAGAAGGGTATGGAACAAAGACCAGAAGCAGATTGCTCCAATACTTGAGGAACAGAAGGGATGCCAACTTCAATGTCGTCATCTGCCAATCTCATATTTTTTGAACACCTAAACAGGCCAGAAAATTCATGCTGCCAAAAAGCAGCGTCTTGAGCAGGATCAATAACCTCAGCAGTTAAGCTGCTTCCTGCAGTAGTAGTACGGTCATCACCAACTTCTTCAGAGATGCTTGCCAAAACATTGAGCTACTTATTCTTCCCTGGAGGATGTGAACACGCTTCATAATTTGGTTTTAAATATTTGCTCCCATTTTCACAACCATCACCAACTCCAGTGTTAGATGCAATACCATCAACAGCATCACCTACACATAGGTAATCATTAACACAATCTAAGATTGGTCAAGAAAAAAGGTAAAATGTGGAAACGATGAATTTGCCCAGATGATTGATTGCTAGTCAAGATGAAATTCAGCTCATGGAACCTCAAAGGCAAGATAATAAAGGAATAATACACTTAGAGATAACAAATTGATCTCATGAGATGGAAGCAATAATGCATAGTAAAAGATTGCAATGGCCTTATGGTATCTATTACGTATATTACATTAAAAATGACGCCCATTAAGCCAACAATAAATACAGCGAAAGACGAAGAAACATGTGCAGTAAAGAGCACCAGGCAGATGCAACTAGAAACTACCCTATGCAGCCACAATATCACATAACATGCATTAGAGAATAATGTGTCAAGATTACTCCCAGAAAAGAACTTCAAAGACTTGAATAAAAAAACAAAGGAATAGCTTGTTACTTTCTCTAAGAATGTCATATTTAGAACATTCCACAAGTTTTCTAGTCATCTGACATGTTCTGTTGAAGAAATTAAAAGTCACACCAATGTAAAAGAATTGATTTTTTTACACCGAATCAAAATAAGTAACAGAAAAATCAAATAGCAGGTCACCAATACTTGCATTCCCACGTCATAAAAAACCAACAAGATACAAAAAGAAAAACATCTAATTACAGCTGGACTTGCAGGTGATAGGAAAACCAGTCTAGTTTGTCTAAGCAACACAAACACAAGTCTACAACAGATCAGATAATTCTTTATACAGGAATAGAAAGAGGATTACTGGATCTTCAGAACATGTCAGATCACCTTATAAGGACGTCTAAATTGTATGACAAAAATCAAACAGCCAATCTATGTGATAACCCTAACTAAGAGTCCAGTACAGGGCGATTTCTATGGACCAATTATTATGAAAAATTGGTTGATCTCATGAATAGGAAAAAATAATGTTACATTTTAGTCTTGGCTACAAGATTCAGTGATGGAAGTGGTGGATTGCAATTTTCCAAAGAAAAATTGCTACGTTTTCTGTGAATACATTTTTCAATCACCTTTTTACCCCACATATATCAAATCGCTACAGTAATTTTTCTACAAAAAGTTCAGAAAAATGCCATCCAAACAAAGAGGAAAGAATAAACACAATATTTCTCAAGTAGCATAGATTCATACATCATGTATCACTTAAATATTCATTATTGTTATATGTGTGTGTAGTTGGTGTATTTCAATTCTCTGTCTGAAGTGCAAAAAGGCCACTCAGTAACAATCTGGAGAAATCAATTCAGTGGCAGGACAAACCTGCAGCATGTCTCTCTGTAAAGTTGAAAGTGCTACACCTTCTTGCAGAACGGCCATCCCCACTTAAATTTAATCAGGCTTTTTTCACCGGTACCTGACAGATTGAACCGATGTGAACTTCATTGTCAGCCAATCTCATCCTCTTTGAATGTGTACAATGTCCACTGACCTCATGCTGGGGATCAATACATGCTGAAGGGCTTCCTGAATTGTCACCATCTTCACAGTTCCTTCTAGTGACTTCCTCATTCTGCTGTCCATATGAACACTAAGCATCATAATTTAGTAGTGTTGAATTACTCCTATCTTTACAACCCCCATCAACTCCGCGCTTAGAAGCAATAGAAATACCATCACCATTAGCAGCAGCAGCATCATGTCCTATACAAAATTGATTAAGACAAAAGTGTATATGGCCATTTATGCATGCAATGCCAAAACCAACTAATCAAAAAATTTCTCAAAAAAATCCAGCAAAGTCAGTCAGAAGCTGGAATTTACCCATGTTTTTCTCCAGGTCAAAGAAGGATTAGAAAACTACCACTTCGATCAGAGGATCGCTTCTTCAGCAGCAATCCCTCACATTTAGGATCGATGATTTGTCCCCTAATAATATGAATATAAGAAGAATCTGTGGAAAGGTGTCAAATTTGCACACAGAAATCAAAGCAAACTACTTCTAGACAATCATAAGCTAAACATCTCAATATCAACTAATAATTAATAGTAAACATCACAAAACAAAGCATCAAAAGATGATGGGCAGGCATGAAGACATTCAATAGCCGGATTCCACATAAAGATTGAGCTACATTGTGTATGCGAGTAAGAACACGATCAGGAAAGCCAAAGGCTATTACCTTGGAAGATGTATCAAGGCAAGAAGCCCACGACAAAAGTTTCTAGAGGAATAAAAAAGATGAAAAAATCGAGAAGAAAATACACAACAAGATCAACAGAAACAACATAAGAACCGTAAGGAAAGACAAATTTTTGACAGAATAAACAAGTTCTAAAAAACAAATGAAGGTTCTGATCAATCAAAAGGTTAAGGTACTTTCCTAAAAGCAGATTAAGAAAATTAGTTCTAAAAAAAATGAACAGACTTCGGGGGTGAGATCTTAGTACCATGGAACATTCCGAGCAGCGCAAGACGAGGTTGCCGAAACGCTCTCGCGTCCCTTCAAGCTGCTTATGTCTCTGGTATGCGACTGATTTTTATTCCAGTTAGGATCCTCTATGCTACTATTCGGTGCCAAATCTAGTGCCAATCCCACTTATCACGTGATGGTAGAAAAAATTTAAATAAATAGCACATGACAAATTAAATAAACAAGACATTTGGCATAAATATAGAAGTGACACTGAATTGCCACTGAAAAAGTGCACTGAGGATCCTGTGTGTTTTTATTCTTGCTCTTATACTACTGTTTCGCCGAGGAAATGGAGGGTTGAGAGGGTTATTTAAAAATTTTACCCTCAAGTTTCTCATAATTTCGTTTAGCACACTTGGTGTTTTTCAATAATTGGACGAATGAAAATAATAGGTAAACGACTTAAAGAGCTCATAATCTATTTCAAATATCTAGTTTTGGCCTTTTATATATTTTAAATCTCAAATTGGTTCCTCAATAATAAGAGAGTGTCAAATTTTCATCAAATCTATTTCTACCATTAAAATTGATGAATCTAAGTGCTAAATTTGATTGATCTACTGAAACATCAAAATTTAACACTAGTATTACCATTCTAAAAGGTTTAAACCTGTTTTAGCGCTCCATCCCAACCTTTTGTGCATTTAACCCAACATTTCACCATTAGTGCACTTCACCTTCAGATTACACCACTAGACTACATGATCTTTAACATGAATTGAGAGTTCGAGACATTGACTTTCACCTCCAAACACAATTTTTTATGACAATTTTCAGAGCGTTTGAATACAACATTAAGGAACATTAACTCTCTTCGACATCTCATTAATCACAATGACCGTTCCTTAGAAGTAATTGGGTTGTAGTTTTGCACTATTATCAACTCTTTTAGTAGTATAGAAAAGCTAAAACTGGTATACGTGTAAACATGATCAGGAGCTGGAGTTGAAGTTGGAGCAATGCTCAAATATACATTTTGTGGATAAGTTGTACCAACACGAGATAAGACTTCTAGCACAATAATTCTTGTTAGCAATGCTTCTAATTGTGTGATTACCTTGTTGCGAATGTTTTTAACTATACAATTACTGCATTGGCAATACTTCTAGTTGTGTGATTACTAGGGCTTTGTCACCCAAAAAAAAAAAGTCATGAAAATTAGTACTACAAAAGTTGTTCAGTATATACATACATAGGAGATTAGATAAACAACTTGTAACTTTTTAAATCAAAATTGTTAGTGCTATTCTTACAACAACAAGAAGTAAGTATAGTTGAAGGGTTGTTCCACTTTGAATCAATTGATACTCGAACTCTTACTTTAACATTTAAAATTTAAAATCGTACATTTTAGTTTTAAAGTATAAATCTATTCACTTTTAACTCTAAAAATAATAAAATTTATTTTACTTTAGTCCCTAAATTAAAAACCTTATCTTATTTTAATCCATAAAATATAAATTTTGTTCAACTTAAGTTTAAGATATGTCAGACTTCCGTCGATGAATTTTGTTGAAGTCAGTTTTATAGTTTGAGGATTGAAGTGTCCAATTTGAGATTGAAGGACTAAAGTGAAGGTTTGAGTACAGTTGATGGGTGAATTCATAGGTCTGCAAAAAAAATTTTTTTTCTTCAAAATATTCTTGCGCGGCCTTGTTTGGATAATTGAAAAATTATTACGTTTTTCATGAATACATTTTTCACTCACTTTTTTACTTTACATATATTAAATTGCTATAGTAATTTTTCTTAAAAAATCCAGAAAAATGCAATCAAGCTAGTTGTTAAGGGAAAAAAAAAATTCAGACTCACAAGCTCCACCCACTGCTCTGTTTGTCTCCCACCCGCTGGGTTTAGGGTTTTAGAACTTGGACAATAAACCACCATTTCTCGCTTTCCCCTCCATTTTCTCCTGTTCTCTCACCCCCGCCCGACCAGGTACATTTTTTCTTCCTATCTAATTGAAAAAAAAAAAAAACTCTGACTTTAACTTCTATGTAAGTTATCGCATTATTTCTTTCTTTCTACCACTCTTTATCTTTTTTCCCGGTAATGGCAAGAGGCCCTGCAAGGAACCTCCTTTATCTGTATTCCTCTAGAGACAATTTCACCAAGGTGAGAGCTTTTCTTCTTCCCAATAGATTCCATCGGGCTGATTCCCCAAACCCATCAAATTCCCATCCTTTCCTCACTCCTGATTCAAAATTCTGTATCCCACCTCAATTCTCCCCATCCCACTTTACACAATCACTTAATTATAGGTGTTTAAATTTCCAAAGACACCCTTTCTCGACATTAGTAGAAAATGGAACCCCAAATTTGAATTCTGCACCTGCTCTTGAATCAGAAGTTACAGAAGTAGATAGTATTAGTGATATAGGTTTGGATGAAAATGGACCTGGAAATGAGAATTTAGAGCCTGAGAAAAGATTGAACTTTGCTCAGATAGCTAGCCGGGATCCGGTAGAAATTTATAAAGAGCTTAGAGATGCTTCTAAAAGTGATAAGCAGAGTAGGAGTGATTGGGATCTGTTAATTGAGGTTTTCAGAGGTTTTGCAAAATCTGGTTGGGCTTCTAACCAGGCTTTAGCTGTGTACATTGGTGCATCTTTTTTTCCTACAGCCGCCCATAAATTTCGTAATTTTTTTTTTAAGAAGTGCAAGATTGATATAGTGAAGTACTTGGTTTTCCTTGCCCCTGGTATTGAGGCTGAGAAGTTTTTGTTTCCAATTTTTGTTGAGTTTTGTTTAGAAGAGTTTCCTGATGAAATTAAGAGGTTCAGGAGTATGGTTGAATCAGCTGATTTGACGAAGCCTCATACTTGGTTTCCATTTGCTAGGGCAATGAAAAGGAAAATTGTATATCACTGTGGTCCGACTAATAGTGGGAAAACGTATAATGCTTTGCAGAGGTTTATGGAAGCAAAAAAGGGTATTTATTGCAGTCCTCTCAGGTTGTTGGCTATGGAAGTTTTTGATAAGGTGAATGCATTAGGGGTTTACTGTAGTCTCTTAACTGGGCAAGAGAAAAAATATGTCCCATTTTCAAATCATGTTGCTTGTACTGTTGAGATGGTGTCGGTTGATGAGTTGTATGAGGTGGCCGTGATTGATGAGATACAAATGATGGCAGATCCATCTAGAGGTGATGCATGGACGAGGGCTTTGCTTGGATTGAAGGCTGATGAGATACATTTATGTGGCGATCCAAGTGTTTTAAACATTGTTAGAAAGATTTGCTCTGAGACTGGGGATGAGTTGGTTGAACAACGTTATGACAGGTTTAAGCCACTGGTTGTTGAGGCGAAGACCCTTTTGGGAGACTTGAAAAATGTGAAATCTGGGGATTGTATTGTTGCATTTTCCAGGAGAGAGATTTTTGAAGTGAAATTAGCAATTGAGAAGTACACAAAACACCGTTGCTGTGTCATATATGGTGCGCTGCCACCAGAGACCCGTAGACAGCAAGCCAACTTGTTTAATGATGACAATAATGAATATGACATCTTGGTCGCAAGTGATGCTGTGGGAATGGGTTTGAATCTTCATATTAGAAGGGTTGTGTTCTATAGTCTCTCAAAGTACAATGGTGATAAGACTGTTCCAGTTCCAGCTTCCCAGGTGAAGCAGATTGCTGGAAGAGCTGGCCGAAGAGGGAGTCGCTACCCTGAGGGTCTAACTACCACTTTGCACCTTGAAGATTTGGACTACTTGATTGAGTGCTTGAAGAAGCCATTTGACGAAGTTAAGAAAGTTGGTCTCTTTCCTTTCTTTGAACAGGTCGAGCTATTTGCTGGCCAATTTCCAGATGTTACTTTTGCACAGCTACTTGAAAAGTTTGCCGAAAATTGCAGGTTAGATGGGTCTTACTTTCTGTGCCACCATCACCATATAAAGAAAATTGCAAATATGTTAGAGAAGGTCCAAGGGCTATCTCTGGAAGATCGTTTCAATTTTTGCTTTGCCCCTGTTAATATTAGAGATCCGAAAGCAATGTACCATCTTCTGAGGTTTGCGTCATCATATGCACATAAGGTCCCTGTCAATATTGCAATGGGCATGCCAAAATGTATTGCACGTAATGATTCAGAGCTCTTGGACCTTGAGACTAAGCATCAAGTATTGTCCATGTATTTGTGGTTGTCTAACCATTTTGAAGAGGAGAAATTTCCCTATGTCAAGAAGGTTGAGGCAATGGCGGTAGACATTGCAGAACTTCTTGGTGAATCATTGACCAAAGCTAACTGGAAACCAGAATCAAGAAATCCAGGAAAACCAAGACAACAAGAGAATGAAGGTGGTTATGAAAGGCCAAGGTCACTAATCAAATTGTATGAGCAGTAAGTCAAATGTGTTTAACTGTAACTTTCAGGCTCTTTTATCTGTTTTGTCTGTTTGATCTTGTTATCTTTGGGGATAGCAGAATTACAATTAACTTGTGTCTTTATAATGATAGACTGCTATCACTGGATAGTTTGCAAGGGTAAGTTGAAGTCTTAGATTTATGGGTGGAATTGTTCAAAATGCTTGCTTTACCTCAAATGAGTATCACATGCAATGATTTTTTTTTGTGGGTTTTGGGGGGGTGGGGAGAGATGTCTGCCTATTAGGGATTAGTCTCTTAATTAATTGTTACGTGAAAAAAAAGGTTGTAAGATGTAAACATTTAAAATTTGTTGAAGTTTTGACCCAAAAAAAAAATTGTTGAAGTTCCGTATTTGTTAATTTTTGCCCATTTATTGTTTGTTTTGATTGCCAAATGCCAAGATTTTTTCCAATAGCATATGAAAAAAACTTTCTAGGGGCATGTCTCTTTCACCAAACAGGCAAATTGTTGATCTGCATTGATGGGGAATGGGGCAGGTACGGTTGGCTTAGGTCCAGTCAGGTACGGTTGGTGTACTGCATGTATAATGTGATTGTATGCTTACAGGGACAGGTGTATTTTATGCTTTGAAATGGTGTGCATGAATAAAATTTGAGTACAATAAAGTTATGTAAGAGTACACGATATAGTGTAGACAGTACAACAATTGTACAAAATCTCCAACCATAAGTGCCCCTGGTCCGCATTGATAAGCTGAAATGATTGAGCAATTAAGGTAGGCTACTCATCTAATGTGTATTTGCAGCTGTAGAAATGTTTAATTAAGAGGGATTGGCCTGGTCAACAGACAAGATTAATATTTGTGGCGGGAATTTATGGTGAGAGTGGTAAAATCAACAAGATTAATGTTAGCGGCAAAATGTTATGGTGAGACTTTAACTAGATTGTGAGAAATTGAAGAGAGTGCGAGATCATTTTGGTATCTTGTGCAAGTCAGTAAAAAGACTATGGCGTGCAAACTTGAGATAATTGCTCGCACTGCTTAGAGGCTGATGTTGCTTTTCATATTGTTTTGTTGTAGTATCAAGTATCAAATATACATGTGAAAGAGTTTTGGTGTTTAGTTGATATTTGGCATGTGCGCTGTTTTGTGTCAAGAATATTGATAAAGAGGAAAGGTTTCCAGTGCTTTATGTGAGGGTCATATAGAATTCTGTTATGTCGTAGCGATGTTTCAAGCCAAGGTAAAGTACTCCATACTGTGATTAGCAATTTGGTTCCCTGGTGCAGTGTATTTGATATTAAAGATCCTGTTAAAGCTTTCTTTTGCTGTGTCTTTTGGTCCTACAATTTCTTTCTAGTTACAGAAGTAGTGAACTTGACATTACAGCGTTTATCTATCCCACGTTGCAGGAAAAGGCAGGAAGGCTTCTCAGCTGGACAGAAACTAGAAAAGGTGACAGCCTAATGCTCCTTAAGGTACAGAAAATCATAGTAGTAGTATATCTGCAGCTTTTGCGATGCTTGGTCTGCCACTTGCTCAAAGTTACATGCTTTGAGGATCTGCTTTGGGTAATTAGCTTTTCGTTGGAGGAAAAATCTAGATTCTATCAGACGTATACGCTACGCTACTTTCTTTGTGCATCATCCTAGCTAATTGTATATGGCATATACTTGTTTTAGCAGAATAATGCACGCCTAACGCCTTAATTTACAGTACATAAGAGTGGACTTGAAGCTTTTTGCCCGTCTTACTTGGGATGCAATGGATGGGGAAACGTTCACAATGATCAGCCTATCAGGCCAATGTCAAGTTCAGCCAGCAAACTAACCTTGAAGATGGTGCACAGTTGGCTTAAGAAATTATGCTAGTACTATTGCAACCTTGCATAAATCGTGGCTGCAAGCTTCTGGCAGAAATTATTGGGCTTGCCTCTGTAACATGGGTGATTGCATGAAATATTCTCCAAAAGCGGTTGGTGAGTTGCAAATATTCTGTTCCAGCATAATATGTCTCATCCAGATATCATCTTGTACGAGTAATTATTGTTTCGATCAAGTATAACTTGCATATTAGCCGCAGTATGAGTACTGGAAATTATGATCAAGAGTTTCAACCTCAGCTGAATTCGATTTAAGGGGTAAAACACCAGTATGATGTTGCTTAGTCATTTACAACCTCGGCCGCTGCTAATGAGCTTCTTTTCAGTTGATACCAGACATCCAATAATAAAAACAATACAAAATGATTGGCAAGAAACGAAAATCAATATGCTCGCCACCATTTCTGACATTTATAACTAACAATGAGGTCGCCAAAAATTTTATCCCGCTTCAAGCACTTCATACATCCCCGTACTCTTTCCTAGGAAATACACATATCTTACAGTCGAGCTCGGAATTATTGCAATGACATGACAAAAGCACACAACTTAAATGCTGCCAAAGCCTGTAATTCTTCTTCAACCTACAACGGGGATGAGCAAGAAAGCAGGAGCCAAGCCACTATGACAAGCGAAAGCATTTTGTGAACGTCATCAGCAATTAGATAATAACATTTACCATTACGGAAGAATAAAAATTTAATGGCATTGCAACTGTAGAATCCATCTCAGATGATTTCCAGCACACTATTGAGATTCTACTGCCTTTATCATTGTATGTTGACAACCTTTGCCGCACGACTGAAAAGTTTAGAAATAAAAAAGCTAGAAAGAACAAAATATCATGGAGCCAAAAATATAAACCAAGGCCAGTGTAACTTTGGATTCACCATATGCTGGATGCTGATTAAAATTACAGAAAGGTACAAAAGATTGCCAAAGCTGGTTTGCCATTTATGAGAAAATTCCGCTACGGCATTGTAGTTCATTCTTTTTCCTTGATCCTCTCTATTTCCTTGACGAACAAAGAATCCTAGATGGCGTAAATTTAGGATACAGAAGCCAAACAGCAAAACGTGAACTGACACCCTTATTTCAAGTCCATCGCTTTCCAGAGCTCATTTCTTCAACAATGATGCGCTGCATTGAGCCATTACCTTGGACGCCCTAGTGATTGAATCAGTCATGTAAAAATTCTCCACTGCTGTTCCAAATGGAACAGTGCTCATCTCCTGGCGTGACTCAGGCTTCAAAGAATAAGAAAATATTGCAGGTTGTCTCTCATCAGTATTCAGTAGATTTGGTGCTACAGTCCTCATCCGAGATCTGATAGCAGTAAGGGAATCATAGGGTAGACATGCGCCTGCCACCTCAGACAATGCTCTAATTATTTTCCAATCATCCCTAGCATCACCTACAGTGGGTACTGCTGGTACAGTAGTTTGAGCACACCCTTCTGTATTAACATATGTGCCCTCTTTCTCAGAAAAGGCTGATGATGGAAGAATTATGTTTGCACGATATACACCACGATCTCCATGGTGTCCTTGGTAAACCACAAAGGCATCCTCGGGAATTTTCTCCAAGTTCACATCGTCAGCACCCATCAAATAAATAAATTTGGAAGATTCAATGCTATTACCAGATTCTGGAACAAGTCCAAGGTCAAGAGCTGCAGCTTGAGCAGCATTTAATAGCAACACATTAAGCCCGTTCCAGTCGGGTCTAACAGCCTTTGCACTTTCTGCAATAGTCTCAACAACTGAGAAAATTGCATCCTTGTCATTTCTCTCAAAAACCCCAGCACCAACAATGATGCAAGGGTTCTTGGCATTTATCAATGTTGAAGAGAAAGGATGGCGACCATCCGCAATTTCTTTAAGTGTTTGAGGACCTGTACCAAGATGTTCATGATCATAGTTTAAGTCTGTTGCAGGACCAACATAGCCCACCTTAGCTTGGGCAGCTCGAACAGTTTTCCGAATTCTGGCATTCACCATAGCAGCTTCAACCCTTGGCTGAGAACATCATAAACAATAAGCATTGGTTACAAAGCCAAAAAATATGCATACGGGATGGCAAAGGAAAGAACATGACATGTCAGACAGCTATTAAAATCCATGTTAAAAAAATTACGGTTATTACGACAATCAGAGAGAAAAACCTTCAACTGCAGCTCAAAATGCATTACAACTGAATAACCTTACAAGATTCAAGAGACATGCACAAGGTCATCAATAAGCAGCAAAACAACAGTCCCATTAAAAAAAAAAAGGATCCCATTCATATGAGAGAATTCATGACATCTTTGAGAGACGTACGCTCAGCTGGCTGCATAAAACTCTTGTTTAAAATAAGAGTACAGATAAAGGAAAGCAAGAGACTTCAGGGTGCAGCAAGTGTTTAATTTTCTATTGCAATTATAGTATACTCTTAAATTGCAACTGCAAATTATATGAGAAACATTAAGAGTAAAATTTTGGTTCTCAATAGTGGTCTAAAAGGGGATTAGACAAAAATAAATGTGCTCCAGCATTTGAGGCAGATGTAACCTCCTTAAACTTCGGTTAATGACAACCACAAAAAATCAAAAGCATCCATCAATCTTCCATAAGTCTTCATTTATCAAATAACCAGCATTGATAAGGTTCTCTACAGGAACAAAATTAATTACATAATTCCAGACTGACCTTTCTATCTGATCAAGCAATAACTAACGTCTGAGGTGCTCATGATCATCTCTTAACAAAATATTTTCTTGTTCTTGGGAAGAGGAAGATGATACAGACAGCCCCCACAAACACATGCAGATATGCATATCATGTAAATTCTTTACAGATTACCCACATAGCTAAGTAACTTACGTGATGTTAAGTGCATATGCCTTAACAGCTGAAGAACATTACCTGAGTACCAACCAAGAGAAAAACATCTGCCTTCTCCAAGCCACTGATGCTGGTGTTCATAATGTAACCAGAGCGGATGTCAGCATTTGGATTTGGGCCATTACCCTCACACCAAACATTATTTGACCCCATTTTGTTTAAGAAATCCTTCAATGCCATCATGGATTCTGCATCAGACAGCTTACCAGCAACTCCAACAATTTCACTGGGCTTGACTTGGTGGATGACCTCAGCAACCACGGCAAGAGCATCACGCCAACTCACTGCCTTGAAGCGTCCATCTGGACCGCGAATCATGGGGTCATTTAACCTCTGTCTCTTTAGTCCATCATAAAAGAAACGTGTTTTGTCTGATATCCATTCTTCATTGATATCCTATATGAGAAAATGAAGCACAGGGTAGTCAAACCTATGACTAGTTGTAGATATGACCAAAAGCATCATAACAGGCTAATTTAAAGTACCTCATTTAATCGTGGCAAAATACGCATAACCTCTGGGCCTCTGCTATCAATCCGAATGTTTGAACCAACAGCATCTGTAACATCAATGCTTTCGGTTCCCTTTAATTCCCAATTTCGAGCTTTAAAGGCAAAAGGTTTTGAGGTTAGAGCACCAACAGGACAAATGTCAATTACATTTCCTGAAAGTTCACTTGTCATGAGTCTTTCCACATAAGTTCCAATTTCTTCCCCACTGCCACGACCCAACATGCCAAGATCCTGAACCCCAGCTATTTCAGTCGCAAATCTTACACACCTGTTTATGAGCATTGAACATGTTAAAGGACAATTCAAGCCACATGACGAAATAGGTAAAAACAGTGCAATGCAATATGGAATTATTCAGCATTCGTCTCAACAAAAAAAAAAAAATCAATACATCTTAAACTTCAAAAGTCATTTCTAAGAATTTGTTTGGCACTAGGGAGAAGAGATGACACCTCCATTTCCCAAAGTTCATCCATCTATTGGTATCTATCCTCAAGCTCACAAGCATTCTCAGCTTAGACTATCTAAGAATCCAGTTAATAACAAAAAGAATATATATTGAATTCTAAAATAGACAATGAAAGAAGAGCAGAATGAACAAACTGCTATTCCTCAGCAAGAAACAACACCACCAGCTCACAGATGTTAAATCCTACCACATGAGCATTAAGACCAAAACAAGCAATACATACAAATCAATGAGAACACATCTATCAGTTACTTTTTTTTTTTTTTTGAAAAAGAACAGAGATGCATTTTGGTAGCCACATGACAGCAAGTTGATTGTTCAATAGTAACTGCAGACTTATTTATTGTGACGCCAACATTGTAATTAATTTACACAATTTTTGTCTGTCCAATTGCAATTATGTTCTATGTTATCTTGTTACGCAAAAAGTCATCTGACTGAGAATATTATAGGATCTGCCATAACTAGACAGAGTGCTACTAATGGCATTGTCAAGTTGAACATAGTCTTAGGACCTCTTGTCATAATCCAAGAATCACTAGAATTCAATTGACATGGATTTGAAGGTGTGTGACAAGTTATCTAGATTCAATGTGCCATGGACAAACATACAGTCTCTTGTGCATACCTTGTACATTGAATGCACCTAGTCATGACAGTCTTGACCAATGGACCCAGATTCTTATCAACCACAGACCTCTTTGTTTCAGTAAAACGACCCCGGTCAGAACCAAAAGCCATAGACTGATCCTGGAGATCACATTCCCCACCTTGATCACAAATTGGGCAATCCAACGGATGATTCATCAGCAAAAATTCCATAACTCCTTCTCGTGCCTTCTTGGCAAGAGGTGTGTCAGTCTTAATCTTCATCCCTGCAAAAACATCATCAAAATCAATACACAACCAACAAGCAACCAAACAAAATTTTTTTTTTCCCTCTCCTTTGTCCCTGGCAACTACCGAAGAAAATTTAATCACAGCTAAAAAGTACAACTCTCCATAACAGAATCATCCATAGCTCAAAATTAAGCAATTAGTTTCTCAAGAATGCAACATCCAGCTCAAGCTCAACGAAAGCAAACAACTTTTTCTTTTTCTTTCTTAAATTATAAAGCATCAATCCTCACACATTAACATTAAACTTTAAAGTCCACATTTTTCTCATATTAAGTAGCGAAAAACCTAAATTTTTCGTTCGTAATAAATCCATTTTAGCAATAAAATCACCAAAAAATTAGTTCAATTATCAACTAGTTTAGTTTACCAGGAAGAGCAGGCATGGCGCAAGAGGCGACAGGCTTGGGGGACTTTTCAACTTCAACGAGGCACATACGGCAATTTCCGGCAATAGAGAGGCGGCTATGGTAGCAAAAACGAGGAATGTCGACGCCGGCGATCTCGCAGGCCTGAAGGACTGTCATACCCTTAGGGATTTTAACCGTATATCCATCTACGAAGACTTCGATAGCGTCTTCCGGGTTGGGGAAGTGGACTCGGGCCCCGCCGACGGGAGTTCTCTTGGGAAGATCCGGCGGGGGAGAATCCGGCTGGGTTTGGGCTGCTTCGGCATTTTGGAGCTCACTAGTGGAGACGATGGAGCGGCGGAGAAGAGGAGGGAAGTTTCCTGGCCGGAGTTTTCCGGATCGCAGGAGAGTCCGGGAGGCGAGTAAACCCAGCCCCATTTTTTGGGTTTTATTGCTATCTCAGAAGGACAGGATCACAATGAAATGCGTAGTTTTTCGATTTCACTTCTTTGCTGAAATTGAGCTGAGAAAGACTGTGGAATGATTCTGAGGCGCGTGGTTTCTCTGTATAACTCACACGCAGCTGTTGGTGGGGAATCCGGGTCGGTTAATAACCGACTTGGTTATCAAACCATGGGCTTTTCAGGTTCATAGACCATGTGATATTCCGAGCTTCAATAGTTGGGCTTCTCTTCTCGAGAAGGTCCTCTTTTATGACGTTGCTCTAGACTTCTCAAATTAAAAAAAATAAAAATAAAAAGCAGAAAAATGGAAAAAGGAAGCCTCCAGCTGAGAATTGGAGATTGGGGGCAGAAAAAAAAAGGGAATCTTCTCGCGTAGATTATCAGAGATTTTCTAGAGATATTGAATTTCATCCGCTTAAGCTCATGCTAATTTTTTTTTACCAGACCAAATAAATACACTACTGCAATCTCTAAATTTAAGAACAAGAAATATAAATTTTTTAAAAACAAGAAGCACTATGCTTCTTGTCTCATACTTTAAAGGGGCTCTTTCTAACCATTGGACCAATGCCCAATGGTTCTATACTAAGATAAAATGGTGAATTCAAAGAGATCAATGAGAAATCCGGAGGGAACTAAAAAGGCACTTGCTGGTAAAATTTCTAAAAAATCCTGAACAAGAATCCTAATTTACTTGGTTTTGGTAATTTACAGGAAATTTCCAAGAAATCCTGGTCAATGGTTTGCTATTTTTACTTACTTTTGAATCTTTTGATACAATCTCACCTTATCAAGTCTGACAGATTCGATTATTTGATAGCTCATGAAAGGGAGCACATTCTCAGTTCAGTGTGGATCTCGTTACTGTTTTGAAGACCTATAATAGGCTACTCAACTGCAAGCAAAGATCAGGAGATGAACCAATCATGGAAGGAAGCATTCCCAGTTAAAGCAGGAAGTATCTCTGCATGATTTAAGTCAGACGCCGCCCGCTACGGAGGTTAACCATTTCTTTCTTAGTTGAATTTGATAAGCCTCAGCTGCATTATGAGCTGAATTTGATGGGAACAGCCACGTACTTGGAAATTTATGCAGATATCAAAGATATCTTGTATACAGGATCAAAACGACATCAAAAGACACTGAATTGAGAGAATATACCAAAGGCTACAATATGCAAGTCAGCTTTACTAAATGCCATTTACCCAAAAGGGTAAAAAAGGACGCAGCCTAACCACAAAAAAATATTGCTACATCCAGGCTAATAAACAACTGCAGTCTTTCAGTTAGCTATGGAAGTATTTGTAATAAAATTTTGAAGTCTAGCTATATCATCCAGGTAGCAGCGAATCCAAGCCTCACGTTCCATCCAGGAAGCGTATTGACTGTAAATCCTATAATAAGGCAATTGATGTCAATCCCGCTTTAGGGCCTTCCTGATGACAGATCTAGTAATAACTATCGCAATGTATGCTGCAACTGTAACAGAAATACCCAAGAGTAGAATGAGGCGATCATAAGAAGCATGTTGAACCGAGTAAACACGAAGTGTAATAGTATCCCAGTTGCTCTCTGTCCAGACTGGGTCAGCAGCTCCCATGATGTCGGAAGAATTAGTTGGCAGCAGCTTCCACATATCAGATTCAAATTTCAATCTTGTTGAGTAAGCTGGTACATACCTGAGATGGAAACAGATTATTAGAACATCTGAATATACAAAAAATTTTGTTACAACCACTGGATATAAGCAAGCAACCTTGGTGTGCCGTTGCAGATGAATATTCAAAGTAACGTGTTACTAATGACGGCTCGTAGAGCACAATATTGAAAGTGGAAACGTGACCGTCTCAACATTTATGATCACCTATACTCTGGTGCTTCAAATAATGCAAGTCAAAAAATCACATGATGCAAATTAACATGGTACAAATGACAACAGGTAAAAACAAATGACATCCTCCTGTTTTAACCTTCAAATCTCAAAAATCTAGTCATAATTTTATAAATTAAGGAAGGTGCTTCATTCCTTTCTACTTGCAATTACATGTTAGGCAACGACATGCTCTTTAAACACTCCTGTACTGCATTTCTGACAAACAATGCTACCATATAAAAGGAGAATAAGAGTCAAAAATATCTGATACAAAACTGATGATAGAACAATGTGGAGCTTAAATGAGTTACATATATATATATATATATATATATATATATATATATATATATATACACGAGCCACAAAGAAGAAAAGAGCTCATTTATTCCAGAACAAGGAACAAAAATATAAAGCGATTCTCTTTACGAACGCATGCTAAACCTGATACTATGCATCTTTTTTCTGTTCAATGCCCAGCTGTCCTTGCCTATTCTTCTTATTGAAGATGAATGCAACAAATGTATTATATGCCTGGATAGACAGTAAAAGGCTGCCTTAGGGCACAGATTTTATCAGCAAAGATTTGCAAAAAATCCTCTAGGGTGCCATAAAATGCAATTCAATCAACATCAGAATGTATGGCATTACTGTGAATTACAAACATAAGTTTGCAAACTGAATGATACCTGGTGGAGGAGATAACACATACACCTTTACCATCAGTTTCCCCTCGGATGCACAGTTCACCGGTGCCACTGCAATGTTTTGGGCAAGTAGCACTTCTATTTTCTGTTGGGACAGAGGTTTTGTCTGCTAGGAAATTCCATAGAAACCTCGACACATCCCCTACATAACCAGGATAAGGAGAAGATGATGGTTCTCCCTGTATAACACCAACATAGTGGCTTGGGCATGCAGCAGATGGAGAAATATATTGGTTCACTAGGTCACATGATAGGCCTGGTTCACAGTCTAACAGGCAACCAAGGAGTTCATCAATGAAAGAGCTATTCACAGAAATAGCAGTCAGAACGGAATCATTTATTTCGTTCTTTTCACTAGCAAGGATGTACAGGCTTCTGGCAACAAGGGAGGAAGCTGCGGCTATTGCTGAGGCGTTTATGTTAGCTGCATTACATCACATTGAATGGGATCATTCCAAACAGCTTTGCAGCATTGCAGATAGATCAATCAGGAAAATAATAGGAATCTAACAAGTTAAATCAGCTCACATAGATTGTCCAGATGACTATGGTAGAATTTGTTTGTAAAGGCAGTATCAAAATCTTCCAAAACAATCCCTGAAGAATCTGGATTCTGTATGCAGAGAGCACAACAAAAACAACAATTAATTTGGCAGATCTTGATACTGATTAGCTAAGCAACATTTTTCACTCTATTGAAGTTAAGGCACAAAAAGGGCACACGTCAGTGAATTTTGATGACCAGACCAAGAGAACTGCTAGCTGTTTGCATAATTGAACGACAGTACACTTCTAGCCACTCAGATGATTCATCCAACGGATGACAAATAATCAAGAGAATATACCATGTCAGGGATAAAAATGTAATCAGTGTGATAGAAAGAATGGCATTGCTAATCAGTTTTCCTTTTCCATTTGACATTTTATGTGCTTCTCGTTCCTTTTTAGTTTGGCTTTTTGGTTTTTAAACTTTCTTTGCTACCTTGACTCACTCCCTTCCCGTCTTCCATGCGGTGTTGTGGTTGTGCAAGGAACAGATGAAATTGATCAAATTAAGAATTCATATAGTAAGAGAAATACTCTAAAATCCTATTTCAACAGCCAAACACCAACCTTCCTCAGAAACATCATCAATGAGGAGGGTGGTATCCCAGGATTTGATTTACTGGCTACTGAGATCTTCACATTTTCAGTTTTAAGAGAATCTTGAGCACGTTTTAAAGCATCCAATGTCTGATTTGAGATTGATGCAGCCTGCCAATAAACATCAGAAGATTAAACCAATTTAAGATTCCCAAAAAATTCTTGCACTACAAAAAAGTATAAAGTTCTTGCATTGGTTAAATATAATTCTTTCAGAGATTTTGCCTCTTGCAGTTCAAAGATATCACGATCTAGCAAAGAACCAATTAGGACTTGGAATCACCTTACCAAAATTTATAATAAATTCACAGAATAAGTTCAGTAAGAAGAACCCAGTTGAATTATATAAAGAAACCACAGTATCATATAGATAAAGATATAAAGTATCACAATCTAGCAAAGAAACCAATTAGGACTTGGAATCACCTTACCAAAATTTATAATAAATTCACAGAATAAGTTCAGTAAGAAGAACCCAGCTGAATTATATAAAGAAACCACAGTATCATATAGATAAAGATATAAAGTAGTTTATCATACTGACATTGCAACTAGTCAACTTAACATTAGTAATCCATTATATCCCTCTTGTACAATGCGAATAACATTGAAAGAAATCCTAAATCCCATCATAAGAATGCATGTGGGATCTTCTTCCTTGGCAGTAATAAAACATATAACTCAAATAACACAGGTCTGAAGAGCTCAAGGTACATCCAAATATGCAGTTAAAAATCTGTTTTATCGAGTAGAAAGAAGATTTTTTTACCACCACAAAATTCAGTATTATTCCTCATTGTCATCCAAACAAGTTTTTTTTTTTTTTCAAGCAGAACATGGGAACCACCACTTTAGCCCAGAGACAGATGATGCAGAGCAGACAGAGATTTATCATCGAGTCAAAAGCAGTCAGATAGACTCCATATGCAAATTTGACCAGAAACAAAAGTGCATTTGGATGAAAGGGTAAGTACCACCCTACCTCTGTTGTATGAACAAAAAACTTCTTGACACCCTGGTCAAAGCTTTTTCCAACAGATCCAATTTCCAATACCTGGATAAAAGATATATCACATTCTGAATATCAGTATCATCTCCAGCCAAAAACTATTTTTGTCTCATTTTTTGGAAAAGATAAGCAGCAAACATTTTAACAATCGATTTCGGTGCAGCAAACATTATGTTCAAACTAACCAAACCATGTTGTTTATACAAGCTTTCGGTGCAGCATGATAGGACATAGCATTACACGAAAATCTGTATGAAAGAGTCGAGGGCTTATGACAAATGAAGATACTAATTTCTGAAAAAAATTCAGGAGCTTAATCAAGAAAAATAAACAATTTTGCAATCGGCAATGCAACAGTTTGACATGACAAGACTCCATAATTAGCA